TCTAGGACAAGTTCACAAACTTAATTGTCCAACTTCACATGTTTAACTTTAGAAACAAAAAACTGTTTTCAAGAGTAGTGTACCATTTCCTATCCCCCTCCCCAGGCAAAAGCATGAAAGTCCAGCTTCTCCAAAGCTTCGTCAGCACTTAGAGTGGTTGCTCTTTTTATATGAGCTCTTCTAGTAATTGCATAGTGGTATCTCATTATGACTTTCATTTGCATTTTCCAAATGGCTAATATTGAGCATCTTTTCTTGTGTCATTTGCTCTTTGGTGTTCAAATCTTTTATCTATTCTTTCGTGGGTATTTTTTGTTATTACCTTTTAAGAGCCCTTTATATAACTGGATACAAGTCCTTTATTGGATATTTACTCTGCAAGTATTTTCACCCAGTAATGGCTTATCTTTTTGTTCTTTCCATGGTGTATTTAAAAAGCAGATTTTTAAAATATTGATGAAGTCAAATTCAACTTTTTAAAAAAGTGGACTGTACTTTTGGTGTCATAGCTAAGAAATCTTTGTCGAACACGATATTACAAAGATTTACTTCTGCATTTTTCTAGAATATTTTAATCTGGGGGTTTTGAATTAGTTTTTGTATATAAACCAAAGCTCATTATTTTTGCATTTAGTGATCCACTTGTTTCAGCACCATTTGTTTAAAAGACTATCATTTCTCCAATGAACTGATTTTGCACTTTTGTCAAAATTAGTTGTTCTGCACATGTGTTGGTCTATTTTTGGACTCTATTCTGTTACACTGATATACTTTTTAATGTTTTTACCAATACCACGCTGTTTTGATTACTGTACCTTTATAATAAGTCTTAAAATTAGTTTGCATTCCCTTCTATTTCTGTTCTTCTTTTTCAATGATGTTTGGGTGAATTTAGATCCTTTGCACTCACACAAATTTTAAAAGCCAGCTTGTAAATTTCTACCAAATTTTTTTTCTTGAATTTCAATTGGGACTGCTTTTCACCTATAGATCAATTTGGAAATAATTGGCATCATCATAACAATATAGAACATTCTAATGTATGTAAAAGTTACACATTTCCACTTATTTAGGTTTTTTAAAGTTTTTCTCAGCAATATTTTCTACTTTTTAATAATATAGGTTTTTCACATCTTTTGTTAGATTTATCCCCAAGTATTCAATATTTTTAGTTCTATTACAAATAATGCTGCTTTACAATTTCAATATTATATTTTTCATTTTTAGTATATAGAAACACAATTGATTTTCTTATATTATCTTCTATCCTGCAAATGTGGTTAACATACTTATTAGTTTTAGTAGCTTTTAACAGATTCCATCAAATTTTCTACACAATTCAAGCCATCTGTAAGGACAGAATCTGTTCAACTTCTTCCTTTCCATTATGGATACACAGCCTAGAAACTTCAGTACAATGTCAAATAGCAGATATCAGACTGAGCATCTTATCTTATCCTTATCTCAGGAGGAAAGCATTCAGGTTTTTACTAATCAGTATGATACTACTTACAGATTGCTCATAGATGTCCTTTATTAGGTTGAGAAGTTTCCTTCTATTTCATTCTACTGAAAGTTTGTTAGGAATAGAAGTTAGCTTTTGTTCAAAAAAGTTACATCAATTTAAATAATCACATGGTGCTTGCTTTCTGGTTTATTAGTATAACAAAGTACAATGATAAATTTTCAGCTATTAAACCAACCTTACATTCCTGGGATAAACTTCAGTGGCCATAATGTGTTATTCTTTTTGTATATTGTTGAATTTTATTTGATAAATTGTATTTAGAATCTTTGTAACTTATTTGAGGGGGGATATTAGTCTGCAGTTTTCTTTTCTGGTTATGTCTTTGTCTGGGTTGACATCAGGATAATGATGGCCTCAAAGAATGAGTTAGGAAGAATGTCATCTCTTCAATTTTCTGGAAGCATTTGTGTAGAATGGATATTATTTCTTCTTTGGTAGAGTTCACCAGGGAAGCCATCTGGCACTGGCGTTTTCTTTGTGGGAAGGTTTCTCACCACAAAGTCAATCTCTTTACTAGATCTAGCATTCTTTTGATTACCCATTTCCTTCTAAGGAAGCTTTAAAGTTGGTTCAGTGTGATGCTCTATGAAGATTTAAATGTAAGGAAGATTGGGTGAATGAATGGAGCAATGAACAAGTGGCTCACTGCTTGGAGAGACTGATTTGGGCCAACATGGTAAAGAATCCTAAGCTGGGAAAATAAATCTCCCAGATGTAGGTGTCCTCTGAACTGGAGAAGCTGGTGCCCACTGTGAAGATATCAGGGGCTCTGCTGGGTCCATGGTTGGAAGTGTCCCATTTTGTAGGAACCCTGAATCCATTAGCAGACAGAGCTGCAGGATGCTTCTTATTTAAAAGGGACACTCATCTGGTACCCAAGCCACGGGAACCAAGGGTCTTATATGAATGATGCCCCTATGAGGTTATGGAGCCTCTCTGAGAGTGTCAACCTCTCCACCCTTTACCCACACCCTCTCTCTCTACAAAGCCAATCAGCTCCCCCATCCCCTTGCCACTTCCCTGCTAAGTTTCCTTCCAAGCTGAAGCATCTGTTGATAGTTAGTACAGTTAGAGATTCCCAGAATGAAACAACCAAGACTATGTTTGTCTCTGTCCCTAAGGTGCTATGCTTCCCTGACACCCAGGTGCAATGGGATGTGCAGTACGCATGAGGGATGTGTGTAGAGACAGTGAAGGGCTCTCTTACAATCCAAGGAGCCAAAAAATCACAAATCACTTCAGCCTGCATCTGTGAGTTTCCTTGGTCTTAGGTCCTTGTAAAGCAGGAAGGCTTCCTGGTGCACTGGCTTGGAACTGGTTTGAGCCTGTAACCTTGAGATGCCCAATGATCACAGTTACCATTGTTTACAAAAACAACTTCATAATGGGTTTCTGATATGGTTACAACCAACTTTTGGCTAAAAAAACCCAAAGCCAAATAGCGTGTATGGAGAAAAGAAAACTTAAAAAACAGCTCTTTACTGAGATATTACTTCAAAATAAAAATAAATGGTGCTCTGGGCACAAGATGCAAGATCTAATTCACACCACTCTGACCCCACCCCCAGGAGACCTGGACGGGTCTCAGTGAGGTGATTCCCATTCCCTGAGCAGCTCTGCTTTACACTGTCACCTCGAACAGCCCATTGGACATTCTTATTACAAAACAAAAGCCACAGACCCAGAGCCAGGGTTTGAATGGGAAACTAAAATGATCCTTGGATGAGGTCGTGGGATCTCCAGCTGAATTTGCAGATGCTTTCCTGTCTTGCAACACACACCCCTGATTTGGCCCCTAAATTCTCTTGAAGTACCTCTTCACAGGGACAGAAAAAGAAGGCAATGTTTTTGCTAAGGTTTCCATTCATGTTGCCAACAGTTGACATTGAATCCTGAATGTCTTGTCAGAGAGCCTGACATGCAATTAGTTTAACAAGAAAATCAGACCAGCACTAACAAATATGTGTAGGTGAAGGGTCTGAAGCCATGGAGTTTCTCATGTAAATATGCCAAAATGTTCTCTTTCCCTGATCTCTTCCCACCCACAAATAAATAACACCACAGTGAAGGAACAAGTTGAGCAGAGATTTAAAAAGATTGGACTTTAAGGAGGCTGTTCTCCTGCCAGTGGATGCCCCCTTCCTCTGTCATCATCACATTTCCTACCAGGTCCAGTGCAGCACCCACCACACTGTCATGCCTGAGCACAGGTTAAATGGATTAATTGGGTTTTTTTCTCTTTTACATTTGAGACAAATAAAACATAACAAGTAATCTCAGGTGAGCTGAAGTCACTACATTCATAACAGAGCCTAAATGCTAAAGGAATCCTTTTGTTATTTTTCTTCTAAGCATTTCCTGGGTACTAGAAGTTATCCATCTGGCACCAACCTCAGCACTTTTATTTTTGCCTTCTTCCCATGAGATAGTTTCTTCTTTAGTAAAAGGTCCCTGCAGAACGTGGAGAGGAGGATGGGAGGTGGTTTTGCCGATGCACAGCAGACAGAGTCTCACCCAGGATGGGCCCCTTGGAGGGGAGAGTCTAGGGAGAGATTCCAGTTCCTTCCATTCCATCCCTACTGCCATGAGAAGGCACCCTTTGCTTCCATGCTGTGTTTCTGCCTCCTTCCCATCTTTCTTTATTTCTTCATTCTTGTTTTTCTCCCTTTTTCCCTTTCCCTCTTGCCTCTCTTCTTCCCACAATTCATTTGGTCCCATCAGCTTTACCATCCATCCCAAGGCCTCACTGTGCCATGGCCCTTTCTTACACAGAGGCCTTTAGAGACAATCCCTGTCCTTCCTCCACTCCCTCCCCGCACACACTCTATTCTATCTTGATCCTTCCACCATGTAATCTCTACTTACTACCCTTCAGCAGGGGCCTGGGCAGTGAAGGTCTCTCCATGAGAGAGCTTATAGATGTATTATACAAAGTGGGGAGGGGGTGAAGAATATAGGATGCAGGCTGTACACCCCCATTTCCTGGCTCCTTTCTTTCCTCCCTCCCTTCCTGGGAAACTATGATCTCAGCACTCTGCTCCCAAAACTTCCCCTGCCCACCAAGGCTTGGCCTGTCTGTATTTGTGCTCAAGAGAGTTTTCTCCTTTCCTGAAATAAACTTTACTCATGCATTTCCACCTGATGGGAGTCCCACCAATGCTCTAGGCTCCAGACCCTGCCTCCCCTGAGCACTGTCCCCTCCAGGGCATCTACATTTCCTTTCAGAATCACAACAGCACTCCCCCGTGTCCTCTGCTCTGATTCAAACACAGTAAAGACCCTGCTCTGGGGTGTGGGGTGGGCTCTGGTGTGGAAGGAGCACATGAGGTGCACCAGAGAGACCTGCAGAGACAGAGGTGCAGATTGCACCATCCTCCTCTACCTACTGTAGCTTTGGACGAGGGCATCAGGTTCTGGCCAATGAATTCTCATAGATGTGGAATAAGTACAATATAATTCATAGTAGCCAAAATTGTTTTCTTTCATTTATAAGATTTACATGGATTGCTTTTCCCACCAATGCCAAAGGCATTGGATCTGATAGCACTAAACCACACTGAGGCAGTAAACTGGGTAGCTCCAAGAAGTGCTCCTGGGCCCACCTCCAAGTTCTTCCATGACTGGCTGGTGATCTTGGGCAGAGTTCTTATCTTTTCAGTGTCTCAGTCTTTTCATCTGTAAAATCACAAGAATGTACACCCTGTAGGTTAGTTGTGAGAAGCAAACAAGCAAATGAAGAAACCCTATCTAAGTACTGATCACCATTCTGTCAGATCATATCCAAAACTACTAGAATCCACCAGAGCCACAGTGACTCCTTCCAATCCTAATCTGGGCACTTTTTCCATGTTCTGTGAAAAGCATCTCAATCAAACACACTTGAAGCCACATTGAGCAACAGGACCCCCTGTAAATAATTTTGCTTTGACGTTTTGCAAAACATATTGCAGTGCCAACCAAGTTCACAAAAGCAATTGCTTTGGGGAGTCTATTTTCTTAACTTCTAAATAATAGCTCTGCTTTGCCTGGAGGAATGTTATTTACATTCCCAAATTTAAGGTTTGTGAAAGAATTTGCCATAATAGAATTTGAAAACTCAGCAAGTTTCTAGTTTTGTGCCCAGTTTTTCAACTTCTAAAACGTCCTTCAATTTCAAACAAAACCAACTCTCATGCCCAAATATTGCAACCAGCTCTGCACAGAAAATAACTTTCTAATGGTCAGATCTGTGTTTAAAATCTACCTCTGCACTCAGGCAAATCACGAACATTCCCACCATCTCGGTGCCTCCAGTTCTTACATGGTGGAAAGGAAACGCCTTTCCATGATTTTTACAAATACTAAAAGAGTCTTAAAATGTACATGTTATACTTGTTCTTGAATAAAAGGCTGACAAAGTAACAGTAGATACTGGTTTTTGGTGGGGGAGGAGGTGCTTACTAGGTTCTATACACTTTGCCTGTATCTATAGTTTTTTCCCCCAACAGATTTTGGGGGGATAAAATATGAGGACAGGGATAAAAAGGATTGAATTCTATAGAAAAGAACACTAAGATAAAAATGGAGAAAAGTCTCTGAGATTCATTGTGTACAATTCTAGCAGCGTTATGTTGGCCATAAGATAAATTAACGTGACATAAGTTGGCTTACATTCTAGTTGAAAAATAAGACAATTTAGTCAAATAGCATCTGAGCAAAGCAAACATCTGATTATGTGGTCTTTTTTGGATGTATCCTAGTGGGTCGTTTTGTAAACGTTGATCTATCTCTAAGACATGTTGTCAGTTTTTCAGAAAATGTTCTTAATCTTCATAGACGTGATTAAATTTCAGGTTGTTATTTCTGCTCCATAGAACTTTAAGTAGTGAAAAGGTAGAATAATATCCACCAGTAGATTTTCTGAGACAATTTCTCGTCAAGTAATAGTAATTAATTTAATTTAATTTTCATAAGAAAGGTATCTTTGGATATACTCCAAAGTGAGGCCAAGTGGTTGTCCCAAGGTGGGTGGAACTGTGGGGTTTATTGCTGTTCTTTTGCTTTTCTGTATTTAAAATAAAACGTTTTTTAATGAATTCTATTTCTTCTTATAATAGAAAATATAGACTAAATATTAGAGAAAATATCTGGAATAGTCAGAGATTTTTAAAGAATTATTTTAAAGAATATTTTCAGTTCATTTTAAGTCAACATTATATGATTTCTAGGGGGAAATTCCAGGATTTGGGATCAGGGAATTGAGGTACTAGTGAAGAAGGATGGGTAAACATTTGGTACATAGTTAAAAAAAAAAAAAGAAAGGCAAATTCGGGTGTCTGATACACCCCTTCCGCCAAGGTCATTTGGTAAAAGTCATGTTATTGCTGAATATGCAGAGATTTGGCTTTGCGTTAGAAAGATTTATATGTGTGCTTTTTCATCATTCCAGTCCAGAGAGACACCTTTGTGTCCCTGGATAGAGAAGAGACGAGAGAAAGAAACTTCATCGCTTTTGCTGTTTCTTGTAGTTGTCATCAGAGTTTTTCTAAAAGCAACACCCAGCTGAGAGTTGTTCCCATAGAAGCCCTTCATGGGGCAGGGCACCGACAAAGGTTTGTGGCTGTGCAAGTCTAACCAAATGAAGAGAAACCTGAAAGAATCCACATGGGCCATCTATTGGCTGCATAATGTGTGGCTCAGTCTTCACAGCAATGCAACTATGTGTGACATCGTGCAACATTACAGGAACAAAGACACCAAGTCTCCAGTGGTTCTTGCTACATCATACTTTCTCCACTCAGCTAAAATGTCGTCATTGATCATTGCAGCTTAAGAGTGAGACTGGAGCTCCAAAGACAAATGAAGATAACTCTTTTGTTGAACGTGTTCAAGAGTAGGAGCTTCTTAATTTCCATTTATTTATTATTTAACTCTATATAATTCTGAATTCCTCAATGGGGCAAGGCTGTTAGTATTGAATTACCAAAGTGCAAACCATAGCTGAATGAAACATGTTTTCTAACTTGTAGGATTTGGCAGTATTGGTGTTTTCCTCTTTCTTTCTCAACTTTCTCAGATTTTCGGGCTAACGCATCCACGCCCTGCATCTGCTTCTCATTAGAACAAGAAGCATTGTCTCTCATTTGGACAGGAGTTTTTGGTGCCTTAGTCAGAGCTAAGTAATACTTTATTTCTGGCATCATTAATATACCTTCCCAGAGCTGTTGAAAAAAATCAAGGAAGGTCAAGCTTTCCGAGAGACCAACAACGCCCACTCTATGGGATAGGGGTGGATAGAGTATCTGGAGTTTGCCAAGACACCAGTTCACATGACTAAATCACATAGACTTTTGGAAAGAGAATCCAAGCATCAACTCCTTGCCACCACAACATGAGTCATCAGTGACAAATGGTTCTGAGCATAGAGGTCAGTGTGGGTTTGTTAAGGAGAAGCCTGATCCTGCCATCTTATTGAAATCCCTGTTGTGGTCTCAGCCAAGCAACATCAATACCATTTAAAGGGACTGCAACAGCAGTTCTGCCTCAGAAACAAGCTGACCTATGGATTCTGACATTCCCAGTGTCCCACTAGTTCTGTGCTACTGGGTATTTGTGCATCATGGGTCATAAAGTATCAGCATTTACTACTGGGAGCTGTGCAAATGCAGCCTAGATCACTGGACATCAACTCAAATACAAGAACATAATGAGAAAAAAAAAAAGGGAGGTGTTACTAATCTACTAGGGCTACCATGACAAAGTACCACAGACTGGGCAGCTTCGACAACCAGGTTTATGTCTTACAGTCTGAAGGCTGGAAGTCCAGGATCAAGGTGTCCACAGATTTGGTTTCTTTGGACACTTCTTCCCTTGTCTTGCAGATGGCTGTCTTCTCCTTCTGTCTTCACATGGTCTTCCCTTTGTGTCCTAGTCTTCTCTTCTTATAAGGACACCAGTCAAATTGAATTAGGTCTCACCCTAACAACCCCATTTTCACTTAATTACCCCCTTTAAAGTCCCTACTTCCCAACACAGTCACATTCTGAGCATTAGGAAAGACTTCAACATAAGAATTTGGGAGAAACCCAATTAAGCCCATAACAAAGGGTAAAGAAGAATTTGACACCACTTGCTCTTTCTTGTCCCTGTCCAATGATGGGGACAGAGACAGAATAGACTGGGCACAGTGGCTCACTTGTGTAATCCTAGAACTCTGAGAGGCTGAGACAGGTGCATTTGCTTGAACTCACGAATTCCAGACCAGCCTGAACAAGAGCAAGACCCCACCTCTAAAAATACCCAGGCATTGTGGTGGGGGCCTGTAGTCCCAGCTACTTGGGAGTCGGAAGCAAGAAGATTGCTTGAACCCAAGAGTTTGAGGTTGCCGTGAGCTGTGACACTGTGGCACTCTACCAAAGGTGACAAAGTGAGACTGTCTCAAAAAAAAAACAAAAGAAGAGGAGAGGAGAGGAGAGGAGAGGAGAGGAGAGGAGAGGAGAGAAGAGAAGAGAAAGAGATAGGATTATCAGCTTCATCTCCCTGTGTTAGGTATCATATTTGAATAGAATACCAAAAGTCATTGAGATCAACAAGGTGACGTAGGCAAACACCTTCACTTTCACTTACTAAGTAATGTTGTATCCATTATTTCTGCCTCCCGGTCTCAGTATAGTGCCTGAAACCCCCAGAAAGGTAGGAAATAATAATACACACCCTTCCTTGCATTTGTTTTTAAAAGCAATGCCTCAAAAATTTCACCATCATGGGCACCCACGGTTGAATTTTATTTGATTTTTCTTGTCATTATCATTGTTGGTTTACTACAGTTTTTATAAGAATGTATGTTGAAATGTAAAGAATGTCCATTTGATAGTTTCTGAAATGCACCTGTGTTTTTTCCCCTGTGGCCAATTTATTTTAGGTAGCCTACTAATGGGTTTATTTTTAATATATCAGCAATGCATTCCTCAGAATAACTTAGACATAGAATGTTATTCCTTAAGTATGCAGCCTGGTGCCATTTGCTAGTCTTCAATCTAGAATTTTGCCCTTGCTATTCGTAAGTGAGATAAGCCTAAGGTTTTTTCCTTTGATTTAGTACTTTCAGATTTAGATACCACAGTTATGCTAATATAAAAAGAGATTTGGGAAACTTTTCATATTTATATATTCTCTAGAACAGTTTAGATAATATAAACTTTATCCAAACCTTATAAGCTCTTTTAAAAATTATCAATATTACCACCACAGAGACATTCTTGCCATGTTCCTATCACCCTTATCCCTATAATTATGATTCTATTCAGGTTTCTTTAGTTAATCTTGGTAATTTTCCTTTGCCTAAGAAATAGTTAATTTCACAATATTTGAAAACTTACTAACATGGATTTATTCACAATATTTCCTTGTAAAATGCCCACATCTGTAGTTAGGCACTTCCTCGTCCTTCACTTTTCATATTTATGCCCTCTATCTCTCTCTCTCTCTCTCTCTTTCCTTCCTTTATATTGGCCAAGTCTGGTCATATAATTGCAGTTGATTATTTTTCCTAAAATGCCAGCTCCTGACATCTATCTAAGCTGTTATGATGTTCTTACATGGGATAGATGGTGAAAGAATTGTTGGTATAAATAGGAAAGAAATCACAAGGCCACTTCTCTCTAGCTAAAAGTCTCAATGGGTTTAATTTGGTGAAG